GCGGGGAAGCGCTACCCCCCTCAGCCACTGGGCTTCAGATAATATATTTGTATAGCAAAAAGAAATTATACGTTCCACGTTCTTTTAAGCCATGTATTATGAAACTTAGAAAAACGCAGTTTAAAAATTGCATACATTTATCATGAATTTTAAATTTATACATGTTTCAGTAAATAATTAGAATTAAATGAGGAACGCATAGATATTGTCTCAACACATAAGATAATAAATTAATTATACTTGAAATAATAATTTTAAATTATTCACCACTTCTTGTATATAACGGATTTGTTAATATTGTGTGAAATAAGAAGAAATCGCTATTTTCAATACAAAGATCTATGTTATGCTGTTGTGCTGATATCCAATAAACGTTCTCATCCTGTAATAATGTTTTGAGAAACTAAACTGCCTTCAGAAATGTGTCTTACGGTTTAAACTTTTTAAAGCAGAGAAACTTTTAATTTTTATAACTGTTTTGATTTAGCAAGCTCTTCATTTATAATTTTAAAAACACTTAACTGAACAATTATTCATATCATGTAATAATTTTAAGTTTTAATCCATGTTTTGATCAATATTTTAAAAATTATTTGCTAGATTTGTACACAAAATGAATGGTCACTATGAAATGACACCTTATTCGTAATTCGAAACAATTACTCAGTAATAATGAAAACATTTTGTAAGCTTAATTTAATTCGAACTAAACGTGACGACGAATATAAAGATATAATTACTATATTAGAGAGGTATGATTTTATGAAATACTTGTGACCATTTTTTTCTTCGTTATTTGAAATCATAGACCTTATTTCTATATACCTACAGCATGAAAAAAAATAACGTGCGAAAGGCTGGTATTCTGTTGAATAATCTTTTGAGCAGACTGGCACTAATAAGAAATCAAAATTCATTCAGCTGTATCCTAAACGAGTCCGGAGATCTTGCAAATGAATGGAATGTAATGCCATGCTTTCAGAAATAAAAGAAGAAAACGCGCTTTTTTTTATGAGTTTAGAAGACGAGAGCATTTCAGATCCAGAATCGTTTTTCAAAATCAATGTTGTATTATTGCTGTTTAGATTTGTTAATATCCCAAACCCGACAAAGATTTCAATTACCTTGATTCTAGCAAAATTTTCGAAATGTTACAACCGGATAAACACTTTTTGATCTGTCTGACACGAACCTCCCAGTGTTTAGTTCCCAAGCAATAAGAAATAAAAAAGGCCATGAAACTAGCTATTGAACATGATAAGTACTTTACACATAGCATCTATGAACAATCCGAAAGTGAGAAAATCCATTCTATCAAAAAGCTCGCAGAATTATCGGTACTTAATTTCAGTAGCCTCCCCTCCAATTTCCCGGATGTTATGATAGCATGCCTAGTGTATTTTATATTCTTCCTGTCATAACTGCAACAACTGAAAGTTTTTCTAAGCTCAAAATTATTAAAAATCATCTTAGAACTTTCATAGGCCAAAATTGGTTTTCGGACTTAGGACTACACAGTACCCTTTTTTTAAAAAAATGTAAAAATAATTTATATTTTAGATTCATACTATATTATTAAGTTGATTCTGAAACCAAAAAGTCAATTCTTCTATTTAAACTAAGTTAATTCTTAAGTAACGAAGTTTCTTAATACATTATGTCTATCAGTGGCGCACACATGGGGGTCCTGGGGATCCGGAGTCCCCGCATAAAGCCCTTGATTTTTTTCTCCGATTGATTATAATTCTAAGTACATAGTACGTAAAGTTTAATTAAGTATTTGTTATTAATTAATGCTAATTATATATTCAATGATTAGTTTTTTACTGTATTTTGTTCCCGAAAATCGACAAAATCAAAAGGAGCATGATACAAGAATGGTGAACTTTTGACCCCTCCCCCTTGAAAAATTCCTGTGTACACCACTGATGTCTATGTATACTTATTTTGACATTTTCATATAAGTTTTATCAATACGATCATTTTTATCTATTTTCCAAAAAAGGACCCTCAAAGAATTTTTGATACGGGGCCCACTAAAGGTTAGCTACGCCAGTGATCTAAACTCTAAATCGTAGAGTTAAGATTGATGAAGTTGATGGTAAAAGTATACTCTTCCTATGGCATTATAAAGAGTTAAAAGAATTTGTTTTTATTTTCGGTTACAATTTTCTTGTACTTAATTCATTTATCTATGAACTTTGATAATTGGGCCTCTTTTTTTTGCTCTTAAAAATCCAAAGTTTACTACCTCATTTGTTCTTATTTGTAATTGCATCTTTATCATGAAATCAAATGTTACTTTACTTTTAAATACTACATTTCCCCCTGCCAAGACTGTAAAGTCAATATTAAAATAAAAATATGAGAGCAATATATATCTTTCAATGCTTCTTTCTTTAGATTTTGTATATCTTAATTCTATCGAAGCATATTGATTATTTTTCAGTGAAAAACCCCATCAGAATATAAATTAATCCATCAAAATTGCTTATTACGTAGGTGGTTCAAAAAACTTTAGACTTGCATAGAAAAATACGAGTTAAAAATTATGAGTAAAGATAAGTTATCATTATTTAAGGACTGGTTTTACCAAATGGACAAGTGCATTGCAACCAAAAGGTTGTATTTCGAAAAGTTGTGAGCAAATTTTGTAAATAAATTTATTTTTTATAGTGAAATATAAAAACTTTTTTGGACCACCCTCGTATGAACAATTTTGTGGTTTTATGTAAAAAATCACTTTACAGAAGTTCATCAATAATATAATACATATATAAAAGCTGTTTAGTTAAATCCTGATTATAATTTGTCGTAGTCAACTAACAATCATTGTATTTCATCTTCTCTGATATGCAGGTATATAATCTAAGAAAGAGAGAAATATTATTTATAGAATTAAAATTGACACTTATTAGTCAGAAAAATAAACTGAATAATTTAAAATAAGATACAGCAATGAAAAAAGAACTTCTACACATATTAAATACTATAATTTATGAAAGAGAATCAAAAATAAAATGTAATTTTTCAATGCAGCTTCTAAATACCTTTATAAAAATTATTCCCATGCTATGGTATAAATTCTAATACAAATGCTTAATGGAAGAGCTAAAAATATATCAATACTGTATAATTAATTTTCTTTTCAATGTTAATGCACTTAATTTTGTATGAATGTGTGTGTTGTGTGTTTCGATCTAAACATCAAATAAGTATACTGCTCAAGTGAAAAAAATCTTATATTAAGAGTTTTTTTAAAAATGTTACATCAATTTCAATAGATTATGAAAATTACTCCACGTACATGTTACAAAAACATTGTGAATATTATACAAGCTTTCGTATGGAAGACCAATTAAAAACATTTAGACTGTTTTTTTTTTTTTTTTTTTGGTATGACTCTTTCTACGATAGTTTGCTTATTAGGTAACATGCAACTACTAACAGCTTCAGAAGCATGAAATTGAGTTTGATTTTTCAGGAAAAGAGAGCATTTTTTTTTTAACTCATAGGTAATTTTTTTCAACTCTGCTTCAATCAAGAATACTTTATCAACCTTAGCAACATCATTTCGTGCAAGAAGGCCCATTAGTTAATTTTAGAGGAGAATTTCCTTGTCGACATGCTGCCACAGTATAAAGGAGACATGAAGCAGGAAGACTCTCAAAGTATAATACTTATCATATCTTCCAAGGTTTTAGAATTTTTGTTCTCACCAAATGTGATTTGCTACTGTAAAAGGATTTTTCGCTTCCTGAATTGGAAATTTTATACATTCGATGTATAACAACTCTACAATTTTTTATTTCCCAACAAAAAGTATTTCAGCTTTTATTCTAAAAAAGTCTCTTTTCTAGGGAATATGTTCAATAACTTCAACTCTATGATTCTAATTTTTAATTCTATGATACGAAATTAAACATTCTTGTCATATCATAGAATTGGAAATTTCAGATAAAATTTCCAACAATCTATTAGAAATTTATGCTCTTTAATTTTGCCAAAATCATCATATCATTAGGTTACAAAACAGAATTTTATGCAGACACATTCATGAGTTACCAATATTTAAAAGCTTCTAAAAAATCTCTTGTAATGAAATCCTGCTAGGCTTTTCACATGCGAATGTAAGTTTTAATATTTTATGAATTTATTTTTGTGGACAGTATATTTGTACTTTTAATTCAGCTTTGTAAAATGTGAGCTCATCCAGGAACGAATCAAAAGTACCGCCCAAAACCATGATATCACGTTCGCCAGCCTCGTATAAATAAAGGTTTTTTTTTTTTTTTTTTCCTTTTGCATTTTACATAATTATGTGTATATTATAACATGAACCGTTTCTAAACTGTCATATTTTTGAATGATTTGGATTAAACAAAGAAGCAGTTGTAGGTCTTATTTTTTCCTTTAACTAATGCCAGGACGAAAGCGCGCGCTCTATGTAATAGATGTTGGCAGAGTTTGAAATCGAAATCAGTGCGCGTGGTTTGATTAGGGCAGAGGTACTCAACTTTTATTCCAACTGGCCCACAACATGAGTATAATGGGAAGAGAACACTGTAAAACCAAAGTAACATTGGACACAGTTAAATTGTAGAAAATGTTAACAAATTTTTTTTGTACTATATTAAATTCTCTGTCAAACACACGCACAAAAAAAAAATTTGTTTTTATGCGTTTTCCTTCCATCCCTGACCAAACCCCTTATTTGCATTCTACTATAAAAAAGGCATATTAATAGCAAAATTGATATATGTGATTGCTTGATTGGTAGAGTCACGAGGTAAGTTTTAAGTACATTGTTTTTAAATAATTGAATTTCGATACATTTCAGTTCAAATACATTTTTTAAACTTGTAGTGGATGACATTTGAAGTTAATACAGTTTTTTTTTTCAAATATTAATTCACTAATTAAATTTAATTAACGAGTAAATAGTAACAAACAAAAATAATAGTACAGCACCATATATAAAAAGAGAAACCTCTCGTTGTGTCCCTGTAGCGCAATGGATAGCGCGTTGGACTACTAACCCAAAGGTCGCGGGTTCGCTTTCCGCCTGGGATGGCCTAACTTCTGAGAATGTGATTTATGTTTACAATGCTATTTTATTGGAATTAAATTTAATTGATGAATAAAAAAAACAAATAAAAATAATAGTCCAACACCATATATAGAAAGGAAAATAGCTTTAATTTGCCAATTAATGTTATGATTCTGTCATATGCATATACAAATTAATATTAATTGTAATTATTTAATAAAAAGAAACTAAAATAAAAAAAAATTGTTAAAACCTAAGTAGGAATAGACTTCATATTTTTCCTTTTACATTACTTGTTTTTACAGTAAAAATCTATTGTCCTCTGCAAGGCCAATTCACGTACAACAGGTTCGAGTGAGTGAGTGAATATTAACGTCACACAGGGGCAGTTTTCCCAATCTGGCGCACGGAAATTATTTTATGGCTTTAAAGTCTTCCTAATGATCTAAAATCATAGTAATTAATGTAAATTGGGTATTCTTTTCTGTTTTTTAATAACAAACAAGGTTAATAAGATCATAACTAATTTATGTCAAGAATGAACTTGATCAGTAATAAATGATTGCTAAGTGGAACTAGTTTTTAAACAAGGGTCTAAAGAGATTAAAAGAAGCAGTAATTTACACAAGGGAGAATATATACAAGAAATAGTGTGGCAAGTCAAAAAAATTAAATCTAATAATTGTTAAAGATTAAACAAATACAATCAAATATAACATTGTACATAAACAACAAAAGATAATAGGTAGTGCTTAAAAGGACTCGGCATCCTTTGAGCATTTTTTTTATTTATGTATTTAAAAATTACATTTCAGCATTTCATATAATGTTTATTTTAAAAAAATGATACGAGATAAAATTTTTCCACTTTATTCAGACAATTTTACAAATTTAATTTATTTTAAAAAATTTGGAAATTTTTACTCTTTTTGTGTTATTTTTTTGACATGAAATTTTTGTAATATTTCTTAGGATGTTTTAAATACCTTTAAGAATCCATTTTACAATACCCTAATTAGTTTTGGAGGTAAAAAAAATAAAATGTTCACATATATATATATGCTAAAATTCAGCCAAAAGCCTAATATTTCCCACGTTTAATTTTTTTAAAAAAAAGAGCATTCAATTTACAGCAAAATGGATCCCTAATTTTGTTACATGCATTACATATAAGACACAGGGGAAAAAATGGAATTGATTGGTAAATAATTGTGGAAGTAGTATTTTGAATGCGAAAAAACACAAATCGAGAAAAACCATTTTAAAGTCTATAATTTTGAAAAAAATAATTTATATAAGCTAAAATAAACATAAAATACCACAACTAAAATATTAGCTATATATTTTTCTTAAAAATAATAAAATCTAATATCTAATATATACACTGCTGGACAATTGCTAAGGACGGATCACAAATTGCTATGTAGCATAACATTAAGCGAGACATGAGGCCTAATAGGATAAAATATAGTTGCCACACTGTTCAGACATTAGAATAAAGAATGTTTATTGTTCTGGAAAGTACAAAAGCTGTGAAACATCTGAAAGAAAAAAATGTTCATTTGATCTGCGTACGGAGAAATGGAACAATGCATCTAAAAGTCAGCAGGCACCTTAAAGAAAGGTATCAGTACGGGATATGTCCACCGTGGAGTGTGATGCAACATTCCACACGTCGTACCATACTTTGCACAACATTATCCAGCAGCTGTTGAGGCAATTTATCCTATTCCTCTGTGAGTGCACGGATGAGGGTGTTCTTGTTTGTCGGAGGATAGTTTCGACCAGCAACTTGCCTCCCCAAAGCATCCCACACATTTTCAATGGGGTTTAGATCTGGAGAACGCGCTGGCCATACGAGACGTTGAATACCCTCGCTGTCTAGACAATCCTGAACAGCGAGTGTTCGATGACATGTTGCGTTGTCGTCCATAAAAACAAATTTATCACCGACAGCACCACGGAAAAGACGAACATGAGGAAGTAGAACTTCATCAATGTATCGTTGGCCCGTCATAGTCCCATTCGCAACCACATGTAGGCGCATGCGGCCATTGATCATGATGCCGGCCCACACCATGATACTGCATGTCGGATATCGGTCCTTTTCCTGTATATTTTCTGGACGATAAGCTGTACCACTCTCGCGCCAGATCAGTTGGCGTCTACAATCCGATGACAAACTGAACCTACTCTCATCTGAGAATAGTACGCATGCCCAGTTCTGTTCAGTCCAATTGTGATGCTCACGACACCATTGCAAACGGGCAGTACGGTGCTGTCTGGTCAATGGGGGACACACAACAGGTCTGCGTGCGTATAGTCCTCCTCCCCTCAAACGTCTGGCAACAGTTTTTCGGGAGATCTGCTTTCCTGAGGCAGCAAGAAACTGATTTGCCACCTGCTGAGCTGTGGTGCGCCTATTCCTTTTTGCTGATAGGACGATATATCTGTCTTCTGCAGTCGTCGTACTTCTAACACGACCTCCCCCGTGCCGTCTACTACACATTCCAGTAGTTTTAAATGACTCCCACAGCCGTGAAACAACGCTGTGAGCGATGTCGAACTCCCTGGCAACATCTGTTACTTTTCGCCCTTCTTCGATCTTTCCAATAATTCGGCCACGCATAAAATCATCTATGTGATGTCGGGAAGACATGCCAAAAATTTTAAGTTCGTCTATTAAATCTTTCCTGTGAAACTTTGACTTGAAACAACAACTGTCCACACGCGTCAAAACCTTTAAAGCTCTTATGAACGCTATCACGTGATGAACAGACGTGGAAAAAAAATTTGCATATATATATATATATATACTCATACTTCTTCTTACTAATATCCCGCACTTATTCTAATTTTCCACATTTTGTTTCCTTTCATTTTGTGGTTGCTATGGATGATAGTGTTATCCGTCCTTAGCAATTGTCCAGCAGTGTAATTACAATTAATATAAATATGTATATACATATGACAGAGTCACAACATTAAGTGACAAAATAGAAAACGATTTTCCTATCTATATATTGTATTGGACTATTATTTTGATCGTTACTATTTATATTATTTCATAAATCATATTCTCTGAAGTTAGACCATTCCAAATAGGATACGAACCCACGACCTTTGGATTGGAAGTCCAACGCTCTATCCATTGCGCTACAGGGACACAACGAGCGATTTTCCTTTTTTATGGTTTTGGACTATTATTTTTGTTTGTTACTATTTATTCATTAATTACAATTAACTAATGAATTAATATTGCACCAGAATTTGACTATAAAAACTAAGGTACTGATTTGTTCACTAATCATTGACTATGATTTTTTTCAGATACTTTTATAGTTTGAAACTGAAACATGTGAATTTTAAATGAAAGCAAATTATTATTGACATGTAGGCCGCGAGCTGCTATTTGCCCACCCCTGAGTTATCAGATCTGAAATTTTGGGCCAAGCTTTCCAATTACATTAATTTCTGTGTGTGTGAATAAATTCTCCTAAGTACTTTTACAGCAGCAAAAACTTTTCAACTTGCTGCAAAAATTATGTACAAAATGAAACATTCTCAAATTATTTGTACTTTTAGTTATATGTTAGTAAATATGCAAAAAATTCTGAGGATAACCATGCTTAAGAAACTCCATTTTAAGTATAAATGCATTTTTAAGTGATTGTGTGTGGGGGGTGGGAGGGTCCGTACAGTTAAAACTGGAATTGTAGTAAAAAAAAAGAAGTTTTTTTTTTTTTTTTTTTAAATTGAGGATATTATCTTATATTCGGATTCTACAAAAAAATTTTTTTCTTTCTTACTGGTTCGGTATACATTTAATAATTATACTATTATTAAAAATGTTTATACTCGATCTATTAACAGAATTAAAACTAATTTAAATCATGAAAAACTAAACTAAATTAAAATAAAGACAATATTTTGTGCAAAGAAATTCCCAAAAATTAAAGCTTCTTTTCTTACAGTCAACAAATCTGACTTATTTAAAATGAAATGGTAAGATTTTTTTCCTTATATGTTGTACAATATAGTTCATATCACATCTGACTTTATTTTTACGCGGTTAAAACGTTATATGAAATTCCTTGCAAAACCATGTGAAATAGATAGTATATATAAAAGTAAACTCAGTGGTGCATCAGCCCATAGAGGACCAAGGCTTTCTGTGCCCCTTCTCGATTTTCATGACCTCGGGCTCCGAGGAACATGAGCAGATATTCCTGTGATCTGTCTGACACGAACCTCCAGTGTTTAGTTCCCAAGCAAGCTTGATATTCATTTATCGAACCACTGATGGGATGAAAGGTTGATTCGACCTTGCCTAAGCTGGGGTTTGAATCTTGGACTTGTGGCGGGGAAGCGCTACCCCCTCAGCCACTGGGCTTCAGATAATATATTTGTATAGCAAAAAGAAATTATACGTTCCACGTTCTTTTAAGCCATGTATTATGAAACTTAGAAAGAACGCAGTTTAAAAATTGCATACATTTATCATGAATTTTAAATTTATACATGTTTCAGTAAATAATTAGAATTAAATGAGGAACGCATAGATATTGTCTCAACACATAAGATAATAAATTAATTATACTTGAAATAATAATTTTAAATTATTCACCACTTCTTGTATATAACGGATTTGTTAATATTGTGTGAAATAAGAAGAAATCGCTATTTTCAATACAAAGATCTATGTTATGCTGTTGTGCTGATATCCAATAAACGTTCTCATCCTGTAATAATGTTTTGAGAAACTAAACTGCCTTCAGAAATGTGTCTTACGGTTTAAACTTTTTAAAGCAGAGAAACTTTTAATTTTTATAACTGTTTTGATTTAGCAAGCTCTTCATTTATAATTTTAAAAACACTTAACTGAACAATTATTCATATCATGTAATAATTTTAAGTTTTAATCCATGTTTTGATCAATATTTTAAAAATTATTTGCTAGATTTGTACACAAAATGAATGGTCACTATGAAATGACACCTTATTCGTAATTCGAAACAATTAC